GGGTGAGCAAATACTTTTGGCAATATAGTGTATGTGGACATAGTTTAGTTTGTAATCATAAGAAGATAATACTAGTTGTACCCAAATAATAAATCCTTTTTCACAGTTTTCCCCACTCTGTCTTAAACGGTGGAATATAATTTATTTTAGAATATTAAGGGTGGAATTTGTATGATATTAAGATTTTTTTTTAAAACAACTAAGTCATAAAAATGTAATTGTGTAATATTATTTTATTACCGACATTACAACAATTTAGTTACCCAGCTACATCACCTGCAATTAAACTGTGACAAAAAAGTAATCATGCAGTTTGTGTTTATTGATAATGTAATTTATTAGTACCACATAATAAAACGCATTAAGTCACCTTATCAGTTCACAGCCTTAAGTCATGATTATTGCAGAGACATTTTCTTTAATTTTGCCTGTACAATTTCAAGTGTTTAAGTGTTATGAAAATATGAACTAATTATTTTAATGAAATGAAAAGAGTAACCTACTTTATAACCACATATTATTTAGAGATTGCTCCTATTCGCAGTGTTTTAGTTCACACGTGTGTCAACATAACCATGCTATTGTTTATTGAGTACAGTGAATTTACATCATAATGAAGTTAGGTTCTTTATTATTTTGGGTTTGTCAGTGGTATAGTACGGAACTTATCTAAGAATCAAGATGGCTTTAGATTATTGGATTGTTCTCTTACACTCTAACAGTAGAACAGTTACATCCAGGCTTGTCACATCGGGCTCAGGGGTCTCCAGCTCCAAGCTTTGAGTGCCACTGTGCAATTTTTGGATACCTCCCTGGTCCAACACTCCTGAATCAAAATACTTAATTATCTCCTTGGTATATCAGCAGGCTTTGCTATTCCCTAATCACTATTTAGGCCTTCATGAACTTCCTTTAACACCATTATTTGAACACCAAAACCAATCCACTGTTGCTGACCCGTAACTTTCTAAGTATGAACTAAAATCTCTGATTATTTGTAATGATCTTGGTGCTGATGACTGGCTAAATAACTGGTTTCATTTACGTGTCTAGTTTCTGAAACCTAGGGTGACCATATTTTCATTTGGGAAAACCAGGACACCTTGGAGCGGGGTGGGGGGGTGGGGGGGGGGGGGTTGGCGGGGTATTGTTGAAAGAACAAATGTCTCATCATCGGGATTTGCTCCGTGATCAGAGGAAATGTTACTTGGAGCAGAACAGTTGTGAAAATTTGAAGTTCAGTTTAATATAATAATACAACTCTGTGAATAGTTTCGTCTGAAATTAATGAAAATAGTTGTTTTAATGGTTATAGAGTCAGATATGTGGCGGTAATGTTTGGTTTATCTAAAGGTTTTAATATGTTACTGTGTAAATGAGTTTGGTTGTAATTTAAGGACAGATTCTAATATCTGTCCTTAAATTACAATCTGATCTGCAGAGAGGGAACTATAAATCTGATAGGATTATAATTTTTTTATTGTTGTTTTGCACAATATGCTTAACTAAGTATTTTTTGTTGTTGAATATTAGAGATTTTGCAGATATATTTTGTAGATACATTGTTTAGATTTACTTATATATTTCTAACCCTTTTATAGAATATAATAGAAAATCCCTTTATTGTCCCACAATGGGCAAATTTACAGCAGCAGAAAGATTATTGAAAATGGTCACACAGATGAGGACCTTAGAGAAATGTATAAGAATAACATAATAGGGAAGAGTTAAAATATAAAAAATAAAATTCTGTAAAGTGTTTTAACAATATAAAACTGGAGAATAAATAACCAATATGCAGCTATGGACATTTTTACAATAATGGATATTTGAAAATAGCAGCAACATCAGAGATGTGCAGAATGACAGCAGCAGGTTATTTAACTGACTAAGGTTTCTATCATTACATTTCATTTGATTTGTTCCTGCTCCCGGTGGTTGGAACCTTTATTCCACTCTGGATTCTTGTGAGTGTAGTCTTTGTTCACTTTAACTTTTAAAAAAATAAATAAATAAACAGTTTTGAAAACCTCGGTATTCATTCTTTTCCTGCGTTGTGTGTCAACTTTCACAGTTGCTAAGCAACAGAGCATACGGCGGTAAAACCCGCCGAAGGGTGGACTTGTTCGAATTTACAGACAGAACTCTTCCGGCCTCCTTATTTTCAAGGACTTCGAAGGTTCCAGTCTAGGTAGACCGCGTCCTTGGAGGATGTAGCCCAGGTTTTTTTGAACAGAGCCTCTGATTAAGAACAGGGCTGCCCGCACTGACGCGGCTCAGGGATTACGTCACACGGAGCGTCGTGCGCAGTGAAATCAGGACATTTCCTCACTTTCAAAAAAAAACCCGGGACGCCCGGGACAGGACGTGAAATACGGATATGTCCCGGGAAATACGGACGTTTGGTCACCCTATGAAACCGGTTTCTCCTTGCCATTCATCTGATCCACCTGTTCCTGCTTCTATTTAACCAGCCATCTAACCAGTCATCAGGGCCAGATTATTTATCTCGTGCCAGTGGGGAGAGTGTTTCAGAGTTACCTTGGTATTTCTCTTTTTCTGATCCTGACCTGTTTATGGTGGTTTATGGAACTGCCTTCTGTGACAACCTGAATTTCCCTTTGGAACCTGTTCGGTCTTCTAATCTCCTGGTTTGTAATCCTAAACACATCCTTGAGCCCGACTGTGGCTTCGCCCTCTGGATTATTCTGCCTTCCTTCATCTGCCCTGATCTGGTCTCCTTCTTGTTGTCTGTCCTCAGGGGCTGCAGCGTCTGGGACACTCTACGGCGCTCGGTGTATCTTGTTGGCAGCCCATCAGCTGGATCCTACCTCATGCTCTGGGCACAGACTGAACCATAAAACCAGGTTAGTGAGTCATGCTTTCATAACCATCCTCCTGCAGAGGTTCCTGCCTTAGGCATCCTTGCCTTGGCACTATTGTTTTCATTACCTTCTTAAAATTGTGCTTCAGATAATTAAAGCAATTCTGATTTTAAAAGGGGTCCAACCAGGTATTAATAAGGAGTATCTAAATAAAGTAGCCATGGAGTATGTCTTTGTATCGTCTCAGTACTGCTTTATTAACCATATTACATCTTTACTAAACTAGGATTAGAGTAGCCTTTAAGATCTCTTGGGTAATCCCCTTCACGCCCCATACTCAAATCATATCAGTGGACATTATGTTTGCCAAATGTTCCATTTTCTACACATCTCAGGTTATTGATTTATTTGATCTTTTTTCTTCCAAAGCTCCAGGCACTTTTAATACAGAGAAACCGCAGTCTCTTGAGACTTCATCTGTTTTGTCCTTGGTGCTAGTTAGTCATCTCTTTTATCCGACTGTGAAGCAGCAACAGAGGCAGAAAGGAAACAGATCGAAGCACAGGCGTACATGCCTGGTATTTACTATCACTGGAAAAAATATAGGGTGCTTATTTCTCATTGCTTGCTATACAACATGGGACAAATCCATGAAACACCTCCTCAGTTCCACCTGTTACGGAGTCAGATCCCCTTACCACACTGAATCCTTTATGTGTGGGTGCTATGACAACATCATCAACAATATAGCCTACAACAATAATAGCTGCTAAAACTCAACAGAGAATCACGTGCAATGACATCTTTTTTAGAGATTTTTTTCTGATTCTTAGACCTCAGAGAACACATTCTTTGGGGACCAAAATGTGAACATGAATAAACCCCTCAATCTCTTTTCTTTCTTAAGGGTTCAAATCTAGCTACCATATTTGCCCGGACCTATAAAAATGCTAATTAGCACAAGCTATGCCTCTGCAGATGTGAGTAAGCCATGTGAGATGCTTCATCTAGGGAGATATGTAGCTCTAGTCCTCACTGTGTGTTTGTCCTTTAGAGGAGCAGAAAAAAACACTGCTCAGAATTAAAAGATTAATTGCTTCTCTTTGTGCATGTCTTCTTAAATGCACTAAACAATAAATACATGTGTAAACATTAGCTTGATCTCTCATCAAAACCATTTTATTCTCACAATATATTAAGCCTTGAAGTAGAAAGTATTTTTAAGTGCTTACTTTATCATTATGCGCTAAAGATCATCCTTTTCCATTTCATTTTACAGTAGTTGTATGTTTTTATGTCATAGGTTAAGTGTCCTAAAATAAATCTAATGAGATACATTTAAAAGTGTAACAAAATGCAACAAAGAAACGCTTTCTGAGTGATCTTGAGATGGAAATCACAATGGAAATCCAATTTTATAGCAGCTATGAACCACACTTTTTTTATATCAATTTCCTGAAATCACAGAAGCGTGAATAAATTAAAAATCTTCAATGCATTATCGCTTACATTCAAGGTATTTTATACCTCCAGGTATAACATTCTGGGAAAATGAAAACGAATTGCTATAGTTTTATCAAACAGCAACAAACTTGTTCATATAAAAAAAACTATATCAAACATATTTTGGAGTGATCTGTCAGGGTTCATCTATAAATGTTACACGAGCTAATGCATCTCTTAGTTTTACAGGGTCGATTAAAACAAAGAAAACATACAAATTATGATTGATTTCTGTAGTATGTGGTACACAAAGTCATTTCAGAAAGGTAGGATTTACATGATTCAGCTGCATAGAATGTATGAACTTTTGGAGATTTGACACAACTAACTAAGAAATAAATTATACTTATGATTCATTCTTTAGAATTTCTAAAAGTATGTATATATACATATATATATATATATATATATATATACACACACACATATATATATATATATATATATATATATATATATATATATATATAATATGACTTTTTTTGTGGGGGGGTTGCAGCTCGCTAAAAGAAAACTATAGAAAACTACAAGTTATCAAACTGTGAATTATCTGGTGATTGAAGGCATAGAGTTTACTTTGATCTGAAAAAAAGAAACATATATATATATATATATATATATATATATATATATATATATATATATATATATACACACACAAAACACAAATTTAAACCAGAACTGGTTTATTTGGTCATTCAAGCATATTCTTTTTTTCCCGTTAGAATAAGTGCAACATAAAACAAACAAAAACATTTTTTTTACAACTGTGAGGTAAATCAGAAGCTTACAATATATCAGTTTCATCGGCTGTCTGATCCTTCGTGAGGGAAAAATATCTGCAAATGCATGTTTATCATTTCACAGCTTTACAATATTTAATATACTTTTAAATACTCTTGGATACATAAGTGCGCTCAATGACAAACATTCTTTTAACTGCATAATATTTCACAACAAAGAGAAACATGCCAGGGATACAAAACACGAGAAAACAAGAAAATATTGTTGAGTTCAAAAAGACTTCTGCAAGCCTTCAACCCTGAACTCATCTTAACTTAGCACTTCCCCTTAAACCTGATTCTTTTACTTGGAATACAGTAGTGTTCTGAGTCATATGTGATTACTTCTTTACGCAGTTACAAAACAGTACCAAGAATATTTAATTGTTTTGCACAACTGTCCGCAGAGTTAGCGTACAAATATTGCTGAATTTAACAATTATCTCGACACGAGAAAACAGCATCTGCATGCAAAATACAAAACAAACAACCTGCTCCACGAAAAACTACACTTTTAATATATGGCAGCTGGTATTAAACATAGCAGCATACATATGCTAATATGCTAATGAAGAGAAGAATCAAACGCCTGAATATAACAGCTACACTTGAAGATGGTTTTGGTATGTGTTTGTGTCGATAACTTATTAATGAGTCACATGGGATAACATTCACATCAGCTTAGGAGAGACACCAATATACAGTAAAGCTTTTCTTGAGTAGCATACCTTGCAGTCTTGATTTATTCAGTTGCTTCCAATCCTTTGAAAAAAAAGAAAACCTTGGTATAGGAAATATTTTTTTTCTGTTTTTTTTTTTGCAGCTCGCTAGAAGATTAGAAAACTTTAAATTATCAAACTGCAAACACATGAATATAAATATATCTGGAGATTGAAGGCATAGATAGGTTGATTAAATCTGCAAAAAAAAAACAAAAATCCTTTTTATTAGAACATAGACAGCAAACACTGTCTAAGTATGTATTATTAAATGGTTGTATGAATGAGGAACATTATGTGATCAGGTACAGTATGCTAAATTTTCCCCAAGAATCTAGTGTTAAATTGATGATGAATGTGCAGTATTTGTATATTGTTACAAAGTCTGTTGTGTAAGGCAAGCTGCTCTTAATCCACTCGAGTTGTTCATCAAGTCGGATGCTGATAAGGAGAATTTAGGGCCACTGTTGGCTCTCTGGGCTCCACTCGTCTTGGCCTGTTGATCATTTCACATTCGTTCTGTCGCATGTTTTCTTCGTTCATATGTGATACCTCTGTGGAGCCTGCCTCAAACCCAGGCCCTGTGTTAGCCACGTTGACCACATGAACTTTATTTCTGACTTTCTTAATGAGGATGCAGCTGAAGACTTTCTTGAATCCTTTGCGAAAGTGTTTGGACACCAGAGCGTACACAATAGGATTAACACAAGAGTTAGCATAGGCCATGCAGTGAGAGAGTAGTCTGAAGGCATAAGTGGTCTGATTGAAAGGGAAGTCTCCATACAGATAGCATAATATCACCACGTGATAGGGCAGCCAGCATAAGCAGAAGAGCACAGTGACAATAATGATCATCTTGGTGACTTTACGTTTGGCTCTCTTAGATTCGGACATGCCATCCAGAGGGTCAACGGCCGTCCACAAGTACTTGATGGTTCTGGTGTAGGAGAGGCTCACAACCAGCACAGGAATAACGTAGCCAAACAGGAAAGTGCAGGTGTCCAGAACCTTACGGTTTTGCTCTTCCCAGCCTGGGATACACACAGTACTGTTGGCAAAGTCAATCAAGTCATAGTAGCTGAGATATGGCCCTGCAAATACCAGCGAAAGACCCCAGATAACCACCATGGCAACCACTGCATTACAAGGGGTTCTCAACTCTCTGGAGCGCAGAGGGTACCGAATGGCCAAATATCTGAAAAGATAAAAACAACTGATTTAGTGCGTGGCTCTCACCACTGGCACAAGATAACTGCCACATTTATGAACATATTGTAATTATTTACTTTGGTAATCCTTAAGTATGGGAGCACCCAAAATTAATTAACAGCAAATGTTTCTCTTTGTTTGAATTGACCCTTAATTCTCGGTGCCATCAGACAATAATAACCAAAGTATATACAAAATGCAGTTTATGAATGATCGTTTCATTTATTGGGATTTAATCTATCTCTAAGTGAAAAATCTATTTTGGAATGTTAAGATTGAAATCAAAAGCCATATTCAAACCCAAATTCTGCTGAATAATAAAAAAAAAAAACTTACTTATGAGCCTGTCCAACAGCATAAAATATGATACTGAACCACAAAATTACCTGAGGCAAACAAATTTTGAAAAACAGTTGAAAACCAGGTAAGACTCCATCAAAACCAGAGTGACACAATGTTCAAAATATAGAAAACAGTAACAGTAACATTATTCAAGAGAGAATCAATGACACCTCGAGGAGATCATAAAATATCTCTCAACAACATTTAAGGCACACCTTCCCCAGATAAGGTACATTTTTCTTTAAATAATTTTGCGAGATATTACAAAAACTGTGTCCACGTGAGTGCTCCATGGCAAAAAAAAGTGGTAAATGACATAAAGTGAAATTGAAAATCCTCAACAAACACATATATTTTTTACATCAAATTTGCCTAAAATGTCCTAATGGATCCCAAATATTAAAATTTTGAATAATGATAAAATCTTTTAGAAAGGGCATCCTGTTGTATACCGTTTAAAAATAACTAGACCGTTTTAGTTAAGTAACATACAGTAAAAAAAACAGTCAAACATTTTAGGGGTAGTATGACAGTTTGGGACTGCTACGCTTCTTATCAAGCTGGATGTCTTACCACAAATCTTGGAATACTAAAATCTGCTCTCTAACATAAAATCATGAAGACAGAACTTTTCTTACCGCCACAGCAGGAAAATGATAACAATACCATCAGCAATACCCTAAAAACTAAAAATATTCAAAATGTGGACATAGTTCTGACATAAATCAGCTTTATATGCTGTGGAATAACCTTAAACAATATACATACTGAAAAACCTTCCATGTGGCCGATTTAATCAGATCAGCTAACTATAGAGGGCCAAAATTTCCCCCACAGCAATGTAAAGCATATATTGCCAGGGATCACAAATATTTTATGAAGGGTGATATTGTCAATATATCAAGTTTCTGGCCTGTTTTGTCAGTACCTCTCAGCAGCCACAATTAGTATTGTGGTTTGACCTACATCTACAGTACCTTGTCTGTACCCCAATAATGCATCAATAACTCCCTCTGTTGTTTATACTGCTCTCTGGCTGAAAAAAGTTCCAGATTATTGAAAGCCTTAGAGAGTATATGTTCAGCATCTTTTACAACCTACGTAAACTCAATCATGTTTCTGCCCTCTGGATTTTCCTGTTCTTCCAGCAGGCATAGAATGTTCTCCCACTTTCTGATTAGTTATTATTGACCTTGTTCCTGCCTTCTGCTTCCTTCCAATCCCCTCGATCTGTCAGCCTGAATCAGCATTCTTTTGCCACCTATTTCTCCTTCCACAACTTTGGCCAAGTTTCTGTGCCCTGATCACAGATTCCTGCCGATCTCCTGGGTTTGTAACCTTGAAATTTTATTCCTTTGTGTTCTGATATATATATACATTTAGGATAATCCTCACATGTCAAACCAAGGATTACCTTTCACTCCCTGTCAAGTCCTCAGTAATGTCACCCTGCTGTTGCAGGCCTACTGCACTGAGGAGGCAAAGTTCAGCATCCCCACTCTTCCATGGATTCTAAGATGGAGAGTGGCTTTATTTCTGAGCTTATCCTCGTCCACAAGTTTCTGACCAGCCAATAACCTTTCTGACTAATGTTTCTTATCCTGCTGCTGGCGGTTCCCTTCAAACACAATTTGCAGAAGTCTTTTAAAGCTTATCTGTTGTTTCTGACAGAACTTTTGGGACCTCAGAAAAGATATTACACAATAATGGCAATTACTTTATTACATAATGCTACTGTAGGTTAGTTTAGATTGCCCTTAGTAATTAAATTGAAATAACAGTTTAAAAACAGTTTTTACAGCCGCTCAATACATTTGTTTAAAACCATATACCTATGTTGTACAAGTTTACCAGAAGTTTATAAATACATCAAATAACTAGAACTGAAAGTTATAGTTAATTAATAAGTCATTCAACTCGAGGGTAAAACCAGTTAATGGTTATTAGTTGAATGATTATTTTTACACAAAAGTTTGGACTCCAGGCTGTTTAAAATCCAGTTGACTTCCCCAATTTAGTAATCTAGACTATGGCTATCAGCAGAGTTATTAATCACCAACCAAATAATTGTCTCTGTTTTTTCAGGTGTTACTGATAGAAGAGCAAATTTGGCCAGCTTTTATACCACTCACTGTATAAAATAACCAAAAAAGAACACAGGTTATAATATATTAGTTCCTTTATTTGCAAATAATCCTTATCACAATTTTATTATGTGTAATGACTACGCAGACACTAAACACAACTGAAATAAGCACAAGTAAATAAAACAAACAAAAAGGAAAAAAGAGGTTTAAAAGTCAAGTTAGAGATTCTCAGAGAAATGTCAAAGTTTTGAGGCTTAATGCATTTAGTGTCGTTTAACATAGCAGCAGATAAATGTGAATAAACCTGGGACATTTCCTTTGAGCTACAGCAGTTATCTGGTAGCTGCAGCATAGGCAGGAGCCGGCACAGCTTCAGGCAGCGGCAGGACAAATATGGTATGGGTCAGCAGCCTCCAAGGGCTGCTCTCCGAACAGCATTTGCAAGCGGCGAAAATTAGTTTTCTCCATAGTCTGTCTGGGCTCTACCTTAAGCCCGGCATACACTGTGCAATTTTCGGGGCGATTTTCCAGTTGTGCGAGGATCTTTCGATTGGCCTGACTTTGAGCCTGATTATGCGTCATGAGTCGTGTAGTGTACAGGGGGTTATGAGCGGCGATCAGCCTCTCACGACCGGGGTGCAATGAGTGAAATGCACTTCTGTCTGTAAAATTGACAGACCGTAGTAGCAACGTTTGCTCAGCCATGTCTTTTTTCCAAATATGCCATTGCCTTTTCTTTTCAGGGCTTTCAGCACAAAAATGCACAAATTGCCTAGGCAGAGCATTTCACTCTAGTGAGCTTCATATTCCCCTGCTACTCATTTGGCTTCTGGATAGACAAGTCAGAGCAGCTCCATCTCACTACGGAGGTGAGTCCGACATGGTTTTTAGTCGTACAGTGTGAGCAGGTAGATCGCATCAGAGCATCGGGCCGACCATAAATCGTGAGCTGTGAACTCACACTATACGACTAAACCCTGCGGTTAGTCGTATAGTGTGAGCAGTGGCTGCGTGCAACGATTGAAAAAAAATCGCACATCGTACGCCCAGGTTTAGAGATAGGGGAAGGAGCTCGGTCATCCAGGGAGAACTCAGAGTAGAGCCGCTGCTCCTCCACATCGAGAGGAGTCAGTTGAGATGGCTTGGGCATCTGATTAGGATGCCTCCTTTACGTCTCCCTGGTGAGGTGTTCCAGGCACGTCCCACCGGGAGGAGGCCCAGTGGAAGACCCAGGACACGCTGGAGGGACTATGTTTCTCTGCTGGCCTAGGAACGCCTTGGGATTCCCCCAGAGGAGCTGGCCCAGGTGGCTGGGGAGAGGGACGTCTGGGCCTCCCTACTGAAGCTGCTATCCCTACGACCCGACCCCGGATAAGCGGAAGAAGATGGATGGATGGATGGATGGATGGATGGATGGATGGATGGATGGATGGATGGATGGATGGATGGATGGATGGATGGATGGATGGATGGATAAATATTGATATATTCTAATCTTTTTCAGTGTTTGTAAATAATATGCCTTTGTAACGCTGTAAAATCTTCTAATTGCTGGGCTGTACAATTTTATAACATATATTGACTCATTGTCATTGTTTGTTTTCAAACCTTGTTTTCCTTGTAAATAAAAAATATAGTTAATGTGATGCATCCATATTAATTCTCTTTCAGTAATTCTATTTCAATATATTTTTGGCTTTTAATGTGTCTCTGAGGATGTACCTCCTTGCAAATCTAAACCAGTTAAAACAGCCTTGTTTATAGTCATTTTGTTTAATGTACATGCTATTTCCCATGCTGATTAACAAAGCTATGGTTCAAGAGTCAAATGGTTAGTTCTGTCCTTATGTAGCTTTCATTGTTAAGTGCTTTGAGAATAGCAGAAGAACCGTATAAAGCTGTCCTTTAACCTTTTACACTGCCCTAAGTTTGAAGATGTTGCAAACAGTGTTTTGATTTATTTTTGCAGGTGAATGAGAACATTAAATAATTCTCTAATATTTTTTTCAGATATGAAAAATCTATTAAACATTTAAAGATGTTAAGAACTATGCATGAAGATAGATTTAAAAAGTGTTAACTCTTTCCAAACCCTTTTTAGGAAACCAAACCAGGATTTATTGAATGTAATACATTATCTAAATCTATGTTATTTATTATCACATATGAAGTTAAAGTCTCAATCTTTATGTTTCCCTTGCCTTAGAACTTCCAATTTATAATTACGTATTAGTCGGTTCGCATTAGTGGAGGCAGTTATCTTTTGCGCTATGGCAGTGCAGCGCAGACAAACTAGTCAATATAGAGATCACCATTATGCTTGAATGGGAGTTTGGCAGGTGAGGCCTATATACAATCCTATACAGATTAATAAAATGCTATTTATAAAATTAGCTATGTATACTAGACTTACAATGGTTCTGACCGGCAACTGCCTGATTATTGTGAAGTTTTGTTTTTATGTTTTGTTTTTTCTTTCTCCTGGCCACAGTCCATGTTTCATGTCCATGTCATCAGAGGTAACACATTGCAATGAGGTAGGTAAATTGACAAATAA